ATTCGAATGTATAGGGTGTTGTTTTCTGGCAGAAAGAATTTGTGAATTTTAAGTGAAGCCGGACCTGGATTTTATCTTTTGTTGTTGCCTCAATCAATTCCACAGGGAAGATTGAGCAAGTGTAACAATTTTTGAAAATATATACAGGTTGGTTGGAAAGTTATGAGACAATGAAGATATGGACAAAATTGATGAAACATCCTGTATCTCGGTTATAAGAAGTCGAAGATCCATTAACCATGGGTTTTTTTAAATCACCCCAGTGACCCCTATCCTTAGTTGAATTATTCTCCTTTTCCAATGAAACACCCTGTATATAAACTCTGATTTAAAAACGTGACAAAACTAATTCGAAGAGGGGATTATTTCAAAATTTTTCATTCTTGAATATGTATAGGGTAACACGGGAACCGGCCAACCAAACATAATACCTATATAAAATAATGGAAATTCATTGCCCTTCACTACAATTTTCACAAAAAAAGAGTTGAATCACTCAGCTTATAGTGAAAACGACATTTTCAGACGCTACAAGAGTAGTGTAGAGTGCGAGAACGACATCCTAAGGCATGTTCGTTCTTGCTTGGCGCAAGCAGCAGATAGAGATGAGGGAAGGAAGTCCAGGCCTTCAGAATGACATAATGAATGGGAAGAAAATAAATTTTTGAATATTTCTCTTTATAAGAATTTGAGATATTATTTTTTCATTTTATTATACACACCGACGTATATCTGAAAAGTTGATATTGAATATATTCCACTGTATATACTATCATTCAAAGTGTTCCCCATTTCGAGATATTGCCGTTTTTAGATAGGTTCAATATCGAATATTATCTCATAAACTTTCCAGTATACATTGTAGCATTCAATGTGAAATCAGTCTTATTTCGTAGACTTCTGGAAATATCCATTTCTAACTCAATATCTACATAATTATATTGTATATGTATACAGTCTGTCCAAGATAAGGTTGAACAGCATGGGGATCTCGGAAACGGTAGGAGATACGAAGTCGCTTAAATGGGGAAAAAGTTGCGCATTCGGAGGCTCATATCAAGAGCCTTCGAAAATTTTGAAAATTATTTTTAGTTTTTGAGTTATATCGAAAAAAGTGAATTTTTGGAATTTCTATTTTATTTTTTTTCTCTGTTATTATCAGAGATACAGAAAAACTGAAAATACTTTTTCATTGCAACTTTTGATGAGGTTTAACTTGGTAGTACCGATTTTTTTATGCGACGTTTCGTATTCGTGGAACCATCATCAACTTTTGTTTTTTAAATACGGTCCTGATAATTTTTTCACAGATTCTGAAAGGTTTTTTTATTCCGAATTCAACAATGTACTATACAAGGTGATTCGAATGTGTTTCGACCTATTTCTATCCATCATCAATGTTTTTTCGAACTTCCAAAAGAAAAAAAGCCATCAGTTCCACTTATTTCTTATCATTTAGTGTCAAACTTGATGGATTAGTTAATCAATACTGAAAAGTGAATAAAAAATATTTCACTACATCATTCGATCAATGCAGCGTTTAAAATTGTTGATGAATTCTTACACGAATTACTTTAACAACTTAACTTTGACAATACCTACAGAGACATTCATAACAAATGTTCAAAATGATAACCATTATTTTCTGAACAAAGATATCCTCTTCTCACAGTTGTTTCTAAGACATTGCTTAGCATTTCTGGGGTTATTCTATTGAATGCTTCGAAGACACTGTCCCTTAGTTCTTCTTCATCCTCAAAGTTATTTGCGTGTACAAAGTTCGATATATCCCCTAAGAAAAAATCCAGCTGTGTCAAATCAGGCGACCGCGCCGGCCAAGGGATAAAAACGCACGGACTTCTCTGGAATTATGTACCGGAGCGCCATCTTGTTGAAACCAACAGAGTTCTGAACTTCCGCAATCGGTAAATCATCCAGAGCTTCCTCAAGATGATTCTCAAGCGAATTTCTATAACGTTCGGAAGTCTGTGTTTCATGGTGAATAGAAGGAACAATAATTCGTGTACCAAATATTGCAACCCACATATTAAAGCCGAAACGGTGTTGGTGTCTCGCTGTAATGTAATAATGTATAAATGTTCATTTTCTCGTGAACAATAATGTGTATTTTTTCTATCGAAGCTACCATGATTAGTGACCATGCTTTCATCAGTCCAGATGATTGTTCGAAAGAAATCTGAAAAATTTTAACATTTCCTGGTATACCACTCACAGGATGTCTTGCGCCTTTCGTCATCTCCTGGTTTTAGCGCTTGACAAATTCTGAATTTGTATGGATGGAATTTTTGTTTCCGCAAAATGAAATGGGTTGTTGATTGAAACCAGTTGATGAGGTATTAGTGTGTTGACTAATTTTCCTTCAAAATAAGTGGAACTGATGGCATTTTTCCTTTGGAGTTTCGAAAAAACATTGATGATGGATGGAAATAGGTCGAAACACAAATGAACCACCTTGTATAATACATGGTTGAATTCAGAATAAAAAAACCTTTTAGAATCTGTGAAAAAATTATCAGGACCGTATTTAAAAAACAAAAGTTGATGATGGTTCCACGAATACGAAACGTCGCATGAAAAAATCGATATCACCACGTTGACCGTCATCAAAAGTTGCTATGAAAAAGTATTCTCAGTTTTGCTGTATCTCTAATAATAACGGAGAAAAAAAATAAAATAAAAATTCCAAAAATTCATTTTTTTCGATATAACTCAAAAACTAAAGATAATTTTCAAAATTTTCGAAGGCTCCTGATATGAGCCTCCGAATGCGCAACTTTTTCCATATTTAACCGATTTTGTATCTCTTACTGTTTTCGAGATCCCCATGCTGTTCAACCTTATCTTGGACAGACTGTATAAATGTAAATTTCCCTTCAACGTTTTACCAATACTGGAAATAAATATTGTATCAACTTTGAAGTGTGAAAATAATCAATATAATGTAATAATGCCCTATCAATATTATTCATCGATATTCTTGTGAAGTGCTGTTCAATATGTTGCAGATATTGTTTGTAGATGTTTCTGGAAAATTCGTTTTCAAATGCTACTAGATATTTTCTGATAATATCTACATATATGTATATATATATATTGTAAAAATATATGCCATCGATATGGTTTCTGGCATCATTTTGAATATGTGTCAATATTTGTTTTCAATGTATCCGTTACATTCAGAATCGAAGGTGTATCAACTTATAAATGAGAGATTGATCGTGATGCATTAATATCGTATCATCGTGAATGTTCAATATAAAATAACAATTTTTTGAAGATATATTGTGGAGATTGTTCCTGGATAACCACTCTATATCCTCATTCAATATCTGGATGATGATATTGTGTGAATATCTACCTTAGATATAATTTAGGGCAATATTTTGAATATATAGGTATATTTCACTTCGACATTTTTCGCGCATTGAAAATGAATGTTGTATCAACTTCAAAGTGTGAGAATGATCAATATGATTTATCAATATCCTGAAAAGGCGCTGTTCAATATGTTATAGATATTGTTTGTAGATATTTCTGTAGACTTCTTTCTCAATAGCTACTAGATATTATTCGCCAATATCCACATACATATATGTAATAATATTGGCCATCGATATAATTTCTGACATTATTTTGAATATGTGTCAATATTTGTAATCAATTTACTACTTTCATTCATTATCTATCTCGTATCAACTTCCAGTTATGACATTATTCAATGGGATCCATCAATATCACATTATACTGATGTTCAATATGAAAGATATATGTTTCTGTAGATATATCACAATATCTATTCAACTATATTGTCTATATATAAGTTTTCGATATAGCTCTGAGCTTTATTTTTGATATTTGTCAATATTTTTTTTCAATTCACTCCCCACATTGGAATATCATTGTTCCATAAACTTTCGAATACGACATTATTCCATATATGATCATCTATCATCCCAGCATATTGATGTTGGATAAATATTTATATATTCCTTAAATATATCTTGAATATCAATTTTCAATGATCACCACATATTCTCAACCAATATCCGCATAACTATATTTTATGAATATTTTATATTGATTCTGTTCCAAGCATACCTACTGTTCAATATGTGTATATATTTGTTTTGAATCTCCTGTTAATATTATGGATAGATATTGTATCAACGTTTGATTGATAGAAACATGAATATCATCCATCAATACCTAAGCATACCGATATTTCATACGGAATATATATTTCTTGGCGATATGTTTGAGATATTGTTAATAAATAACCCGTCCATATTCCTACCCAATGTCTGAGTTACTATATAGTATGAATATAAGATACTGATATAATTTGAAGCATTCTTTTGAATATGTGTCGATATTTTTTTTTCAATTAGTCTCAACATCAGTCATGAATGTAATAACAAGATTATTTCTCATTATTGATCTATATTTGGTGTCAATATTTATAATATATCACTACGTGGTGATGCCAAGAATATTGCTCATCTTCAACCTACTATATTGTTGGTCAATATCGATGAGCCATCAGTTACATATATAGAGATGATGAATGATTCTCAATCAACGCACTTCATTGTTTTTTTCATATCAACAAATCAATATTGTAGGATGATTATAAATCAATATTATTTCAGATATTTTGTTGAATGATTTAACAATCTTTTTATGAAACATCGAATCAATATCGATCTACAATAGCATGTTGAATGTTTGGATCCAATATTGTGCCTACTTGATTTCTCGATATTGCGCCAATTTTTCATCTATATTGGTCCAATATCGGCCCAATATGAGTGTGCTACTTGGGGAAGTTCTGAAATAAGTGATAAATACGTTATTATCACTAAATATAGGTAATAGTTTCTTGAACCATGGTGCCTGTGACTGAAAATGCTAGTTGGGATGGTTCAAACACTCATACTTACATCGAAAGAATGAAAAAAAATCGATTGTTTTTGTCTCACCTGAAATCTTTTCTGTCATAGAAATCCCAAGCAGATGCATGACAAATAATGTCTCTATCTTTCGGTTTACTCAGTATTGAATTATTCCAAAATGTTTCTGGCATCTCGGTGAGATTGATAGACTTGAAGAATTCTTCTGCTGTTCTGAATATTTTGGTGACTGTATAGTTCTGAAAGAAAATAGTTTGATTGCATAAATAACAAGGCGAGAGGCACCATATAAAAAACTGAAGAGAAAAATCAAACAAAAAGAGTTTAATAAGGAAAAATGGAAAAACGGAAAAAATCTATGATAGAAAATCAATCAAAAAATAATCTTTCAGGGTTCTTTGCGAATTTGTTGGTCACTTTGTTGACGAAATCGTTCAAGTTTTTGAAAATATGTTGCTTGTGTACACTCATCATCGCGAGGCCATTGAGTCGACCTCCAGACATTGTGCTCCTCAACCAGGCTTTGATTCTCCTTAGGCTACTAAATGACCTTTCAAATATACAAGTCTTACAAGGTACAGCAACAAGGATCAACAAAGTCTTTTTAATTCCAGGAAAATAATCTGCTCTCGGAAGTTCTTGGCTCAAAGTGAGCGTCATCATAAGCGATACGATGTTCTATATATTCAAGATAATTCTGTCGCTTTGATGTTCACGAAATTGTGCTGTCCAGCAATTGCTATTCACAACTGAGAACAATGAACGACAGAATTGAGAGAAAATATTCAGAATAGAGTGGTATCTTGTTAGACTATTTCACGTTGACCAAGCATGAAAAACATTTATTATAAATGAGTTTTTCATTCTGACAAGTACAGCCGTAATCATTTTATGTCAAAATGACAGACTTTGCTTCGCTATCCATGGTTACATCCATAGTGGACATGTAATATGGTGAGCTACTCACGTTTCTTGAATTCGTCTTTTCTGTGCATAAAATCATTGCGAGTCTATACTCGCACCAAAATGATCATTCTAACAACTTGAGGAAGTTAAATTTCGGTAATTCATGAGCTAGATCCTTTTAAATCAATCGCTATTAGAGTCCACCGCTCATTCACAGTGTTTTTGAGTTTGCGACGCTCATTCACAGTGCCTCCGCGACATTAGGATCCACATCCACCGCTATTTGATTCTGCGTCGCTCATTCACAGTGCAATCGCGACATAAGTGCTTCTTCATCGTTATACAGGGTGAGTCAGGAGGATCGCACCAAACTCCAGCTGTGTATTGTACACGTAAAAATAAATCGAAAAAACTCATATGTTCTTATATACGATTCTCATTTGTTTTCATTATAAATTTGAATAGATGTGTGTCATTTTATATGACTTCAATCGTTTGGTCCGTTTTATTGTTCTGACATGTGTTAGTGTCAGTGTCAGTGTGTTTGACGCGTTTATTTTCGAGTTTGTACGATTGAAGTCTTATAAAATGTCACACATTTATCCAAATTTTGAATGGTAATGAAAGAGAATCGTATAAGAACATATATTATGGGTTTTTTGAATTATTTTTACGTGTACAATACACACCTTGAGTTTGGTGCGTTCCTCCCGACTCACCCTGTATACACTATCAATGATTATCACCATTGTTCTTTACTCTGCCAAAAGTTGTGCCGTTATAAACCTTCACACCTGAATGAGTAGGTTGGTTATGGTGTGAAGAATTTCAGTTGCAAATTTACGGAACCCATAGAATCAAATTGGGCTTATACTGATGCAAACTTCAATTCCGTATATCCTGAATCTAGATATATTGAAATGAGTGAATCCTCAAAGAAATATTAATCCAATATGATTTCCACCTACTGATATAATCCATGATGAACTGAAAACATCAATTCCTTCGTCAGCACATCAATTCGTTGTCAACCTCGAAATATGTCTAATAGCATTTTATCAAAGCTCGTTTCTCTATATAGAACGAAAACACTCTGAAATTCATCGCCTGATGAACTATTTCCAAGGAGTTATGATCTTCAAAAGTTAAAAAAAATCACCTAACTCCTCTCTCTATCCTCCCTAGGTACGCACGTTGTTCTTCAAACATTATAGGGATTTCCATTCGTGCGCTCCAAGCAATAAAAAAAAATTTAAAATTTGAAAAATACCTGTTTCACTAATTCTGCTGTCAAATCAGCGTTCTCTACATCTGTATAAGGCAACGTGAAGTCTGCCACATTCAACCAGCTCTGACTCCACATATTACCTATAAAAGACAAAAACGATGAATCAAAAATGAGATTTATCAGCTTTTCTGGAAGTGGGGAGCTCCCAGATGAAACCTTCAGGTAGATTCTTGATAACTGAACTTGAGGAAAGAGTTTAACCATGAAATAGTATAATGGGCTGCTATAATTTCTCGGTAAAACATTAAAAATTTTTTTTCTTTTCGGACCTATTTGCCTGCCAAATGAAAATTCAAACATCTAGTCTAGCCACTACACTGTTTAACGACTATCCAAACTGATTTCTTATACACCTCGACACGTGTTTCGCTAACTATGTTAGCATCTTCAGGAGAATATTGAAACTAAATATTCTATTCTACTGTGCTACTTATACAGGGTGATCCAAGGTGGATGGCCTATTAGAAGCATCTGAAGAACGAAAAAACAGAACATTCTGAAAGATGGGATGCTTCGATAATTGAACATTCTCTATCCGTCTAAAATATTTTCATTGATACAGTGTTGCCACTCCTATCAGACACAGCTAGCAACTTCGTTATTTTAAATGGAGCACCCTATGTTTTATTGCATTTTTAGATTTTTCCTGAAGAGCTGATTCCATCAATGTATCACACTTGGGGTCTAGCAGTAATGATTACAGATTATAGGGTGTTCAAAATCGAGATTTTTCAATTTCAGGAGTTTTTTGTGTCTAAACTATTCATTATCGATCAAAACGGCTTACATGACCCTATATTAACTTTCGATTCACTATCTAATGACATTTAATTGGAACAGATACAGGGTGATCAGAATTCTGAATCTTGAAGCACCCTGTATTTTTTCCGATAAATTTCCAGTAGATGGTGAATCAAAAGTTAAGATAGGGACATGTAAGCCGTTTTGATCAATAATGAATAGTTTCGACACAAAAAAATCCCAAATTTGAAAAATCTCGATTTTGAACACCCTATATCTCTGTAATCATTCCTGCTAGACCCCAAGTATGATCCAATGGTGAAATCAGCTCTTCAAAAAGAATCTGAAAATGCAATAAAATACAAGGTGTTCTATTTGAAATAACAAAGTTGCTAGTTGTTTCTGATATAAGTGGCAACACTGTATCGATGAAAATATTTTAGACGGATAGAGAATGTTCAATTATCGAAGCATACAAATTTTCAGAATGTTCTGTTTTTTCGTTCTCCAGATACTTCTTATAGGCCATCCACCGTGGATCAGCCTGTATATTAGGTATATGTCCACCCAACCAGGGAAGACACTAAACGCCAAATAAATGTCGGTCATGGTTGTGTTGACATGTTCACATTAATCTTATATCACTAAACTATACAAAGGGCTATGATATTAGAAAAAATTAACACCGAAAAAACTATTTCATTCTTATAGCCTAATCATGCTACTGACTCTCAATCACTAATTATGGACAGAATTATTCTTTTCTTCAGAAAATAATAATCTTCGCTTCAAATTTCTGTTATGTTTGTTGCAAAGTTGATGTACCCTCTATCATCCAGGAGCGAAAGTTATTTCGATCGATTTTTCAGTACAAAAATGATGTAAATGTCATCTATCAAGATATCACCAAACTACTTTTTGTATCTAACTGAAGGTCTGTCGGAGTAACAATTAGACGAAATCAAAAAATGGCAAGAACTAAAAGTTGCAATAGAACGTTGAAATTCGAGAAAAATATGTAAAATTGGAATAGAAACAACTTGAACATGAAATGTGTTTAGCCGTTTCATCCTCCTCCATGCATAGACGGCACTCTGCATCTTGTGCAAGTTCCATTTTGTGCATGTGGTGTTTGAGTTTGCTGTGACCAGTGAGCAAACCTACTAAAACTCTGATATACCAACCTAAGAGATGAGCTGGAATAGGTCCTTTCTCAGAAACCAGCTCTCCATACTGCTGCCTCAGCTTAAACCTCACATAAGCGTGAATCTGCAAATACAGCGGTCTGAGCTGCTCCCACAGATTCTGCACCTGCTGCTTCATGTCATCGACTTCGTAGGAATGCAACCAATACTCGGAATTATCAGTGAAGTTGTTCATTCTGGCAGCCTCGTTGGATATATTGACGTAATCGATGTAGAGGTTTTTGCATTTCGGTCCCACGCTGTTACGCCACTGCAGCCACACGTGACTCAGTTCTTCTGGGTTCCGTGACTTGGCCAATATGTTGGTGAGATCTGGAAGAAAATTGGTCTTTATTATACAAGGGAAAAAAGAAGTAGATTTCAGCTCGAGAAAATTAGCGACGTGAAATTAAAAATTTTCAACAGGTACTACACCTGCATCTTTTTGCAGGCATCTTCATCATCATTTTGAAGTAATCAAATATCTGTCAGTCTAAGTCTGTGATTTGATATCAAAAAATTACGAACTTAATGGTTGTTCAGTAATTCTTTCAATGGGGAAGTTTTCTACAGTGTCATTCATAAAGTCGGCATCATAATATGGGAAAAACTTTTATTAATGACTTGTTTAGAAATTCGAGTTGGACGTTTAGTTCTGCTTCAAAAATGATGAAAAATGGCCTACTCAATCGGGGTCACGTGACTTTCGCTACATGTAAAAAGTGACATTATTTCAAATTAATCGCTGAAAGTACGCTTATTTGTTCGAATATTGAAAAAGTTTACTTGAAAAAGTTGTTTCTATTTGAATTTTAAATATGTGACTCAGATTTAATCTTTCTATTACATTTTCCAGATTTCGGTATTTTTTAAAAATTTTCGAAATTTCTGTAATATTAAAAAAATTATAAATTCGATAGAACTACTTCATACCAGTAGCTTCATCATGCTACTAACTTTCAATTACTAATTATCACTAATTATCGACAAAAATATGATTTTCTTCAGAAAATGATAATCTCTGCTTCAAAATTCTATTATGTTTGGTGCAAACATAACGTCAAAATCCTGTTATGTTTGAGTCAAGCATTTAGAAACGAAATTCATTTGAATTTATATTCTCAGTACTGAAAAGATCAGTTTAAATGAATTTCGTTTCTAAATGCTTGACGATATATCAACTTTGCATCAAACATAACAGAATTTGGAAGCGGGTATTATCATTTTCTGAAGAAAATCATATTTCTGTCCATAATCAGTGATGATGAGTCATTGAAAGTGAGAAGCATGAATAAGCTACTGGTATGAAGTAGTTTCGTGGAATTAACAATTCTTCAAATATTACAGAAATTTCGAAAAATTAAAAAAAAATCAAAATCTAAAAGTTGCAATAGAAAAATCAAATTTGAGAAGCATCTAGAAAATTGAAATAGAAACAACTTTTTCAAGTAAACTTTTTCGATATTCGAGCAAATAAGCCCACTTTCAGCGATTAATTTGAAAAATTGTCACTTTTGACATGTAGCGAAAGTCACGTGACCCCGATTGAGTGGGCTATTTTTCATCTTTTTTTAAGCAAAACTCAACGTCCAACTTGGATTCCAAAATAAGTTATTAATAAAAGTTTTTCCCATATGATGCCGACTTTATGAATGACACTGTATATCGTGGTGAAGTTTGTAAAAAAATAATATACAGTGTGTGCGATTTCAACCCGCAGATTTTCAAGAACAAAAATTTCACAATATAGTACTCAACGAGCTCTATTCGAAAATATGGACAAATCTGAAATATTCAGATTTCCAAGCCCTACTTCTGATTGTTTGGGTCAAAATTTCAAAAACGACTGTTAGGCAATTTCAGTGACTAGCCCATTCGATTCAGGCATACCTTAAATACACCCATACGAAATTTTATCGCATATAGGGTGTTAGTTATTCAATGGCAAATTTTGATATTTTTGATTTTTCGATTCACCATGTATTAAAATCTAAGAAATCGATATAACTGGTGAAGTAGTCATTCAATGAAGAAACACATTGAATACTCGGATACAAAGTTTCATCGTTGTAACTTCTACAGGAAGATCTTTCTAGTTCAACCAAAAATTAATAAAATTAAAGTTGAGGTTCGCCATTTTATAATAGTTATTTATGTAATAAGGATCATAAAGACGATCATTATGGTACAAGTCGTGAATGTTATCGGGCGAGGCGTAGCCGAGTCCGATAGCACGGCGTGTGCCATAATGATTGTTTATGATTCGTATTACATACAAAATTTTATCTGATGGCATTTATATCAACACATTTTCGAAAAATTAAAAACTGCATTTTCGACATGTCACAATGACAACTATTTTAAAAGGAGTAAGTATTGTGTAGTTTCAAATATTAGTAGGTGAGTGAGCTGTGCTTTGCCATTATATTAATATTACAAATTGTAGTAATTGTTCTTTTACCATTTATAATAAATAGTTTTGTACATAGTTATGCATTTTGAATAAGCTTTTTTGATCAAACCATTACATGTTTTTCTTATAGAATTTCATTATGGTACTTAGTCCCATAATGAGCTTCCTTATGTCATCAAAATTGAGTGACATAACGTTGTCATTATGACATGCCATCAGATAAACCATTTTTCACAGACTTTACCACACGCAGTTACTTTGAAAATCGTCTTGATTGATGAAGAACTGTCGAATATAACACAAATATAACGACAGACAAATACTCTCCAAAGACTGCAAGGAGATTTACTAATACCTACTTTATGTGATCATGATAATATACCGATTTTGGCGAAGTGAAAGGGAAATTTGGGATGACAATGGAAATTGTTAAGTATAGGAAATATTTCCTCGAATTAATTACCATTATTCATATTTCCAGAGAAGAAAGATATGGATCATAAAAAATAAATGTCAACTCCAGTTTTATCCATTTTTGGTTGATCAAGAGGGATCTTCCTGTAGAAGTTACGACGATGAAACCTCGTATCTGAGTACCCGATGTGTTCCTTCATTGAATGACTACTTCACCGGTTATATCAACCCCTTAGATTTTGATACAGGGTGAATCGAAAAATCAAAAATATCAAAATTTGCCACTGAATAACTAACACCCTATATGAGATTTTTCGTCCAAATTTCGTAGGGGGTTTTTCCAGCTATGCCTGAATCGAATAGGCTTTTCACAGTTCTGATAAAAACTGCCTAATAGTCGTTTTTGAAATGTTGACCCCTTCAACAAACAAAAGTAGGCCGTGAGAATCTGAATATTTGACATTTGTTCACATTCTCGAAAAGAGCTCGTTGAGTACTATATTATAAAATGTTCGTTTTTGTAAATCGTTCGACAGGTTCCAAATTAAAAGGGTGTTATTGCGGGTTGAAATCGCACAAACTGTATACGAATTTTTTCTTCTTTTCGTAAGATCAAATTTCACTTCAGAAATAAATAAATAAAAGAGGAACTTGGCTCCTCCACCATTCCCATGACGTTCTTTCTAAAAAGGTTTGTTAATCTGTGTCCATATTGACACAGAGTTGAAATACGGTTCCCTATGCCAGTACGACGTTGCCAACATCATCAATATGTCTAGATATCCGGAAATTGTTCTTTGAATGCATGATAACTATATCTTGACAGCAAATGGAAATAATAAGTTCTTCAATCCTACTTTGTCAGGTATTACGAAAAATTCCCATAAATCTCTCATTGGCTGAATGGAGTTGATTGCTAATAAAGATAAATTATGATATTTTGCGATAGTATCTATAATTTTTCACTGTCGTCATATAACAATATGTTATATATTCATAACTTGTCAGTCATTTTTTTGCTAATGAATTCTTTCCTCAATAAAACGGATCAATTTTCTGGGAAAGAAGCAAATTATATCTTGCAACATCGCCTAATACTTCCAGTCCGTCCACACCACTCAAAATACTGACAGGCACAACAAGAGGAAGGAGCCATGAGTGTCGGCTTCATTCTGTTCTGACCGACATATTATATGCAAACATTGACAGTTTTGATCAATAACAAAAAGAACAACTAAACTAAGAGAAAGAAGGAGATGATAGCCAAAGTGGCTGACATCACGAAGTGCTACTCGTTTCTTGAAAATGCTCTGGTTTCTAGTATATTCCAGATATAGTTGGCGATATTTTTGCATTCAAGTGGAGTAAGATTGTCGATGAAGTCAATTAACGAGTGGTCATTCGGGAGATGATCACAGTTTGATATTCTGAGACTATTGTAAATCGGACAATCGAACAAAATGTGCTGCATTGTTTCTGCAGAATTCAAATTACAAATTGAAAATATCTCATTGGGATTTATTTTATATGAGCTTCCATTATGGGTAAATTTAATGAAATATTTATTACATACTCTTAACTGCGATATCGTGCGAATGATCTGAATGGGCAAATGGAAATGTAGATAGTAAGCCTCAGCTTTTGTGACAGTTAGCTGTTTATAAAATAGCAGAAATTCGGATTTCTGCAGGAGGGCGCGATTGAATTGTTGGTTGAATTATATATGATACCACATGTTTACCTGGCTCTAGTGCTAGATCACATTTCTTTTCATCCTTGAGATCGCAGATTTTTGCTTTGGAGTATATCGCCTCCATATCACTGATGATTTTCTGGAGCTTGGTGAGTTTATCTTCAGGGAGAGCAGATTGTCCCAATACTGAATACAACTGAAACTGCCTCCTGATGTTGTAGTCGGAAAACCTTCTCCAATCGTATTGAACCACACGTTGCCATGTTTCCTTCTCGTCTTTTGCAGCTTCTGCAGCTACAGTAAGCTATAAGAAGATGGATAACAATAGTACTGATGGTATATTACTACACACTGTTTTACTACTTATCAAACCGATTTTTTACACCTCAACACCTGTTTCGCTAACTATATTAGCATCTTCAAGAGAAGATTGAAACTGAATGCTCTATCGTAGTGGGCTACTTATATACTAAGAATATGTCCACCCAACAGTGAATAGACAATAACCGTTATTGATTATCAAAGTTTACCAAAATACCGAATCTTCCATGGAAACTATCTACTCATATTTTTTTGTATTGAGATTGAACGATTTCAATTCCATAATGAACAATACTATGACATTTCCACGGAGCTTGAACAATATATAAACGTTATTAATGCGCTATTTTGGTAAATTTTGATCATCAATTGCTCAACTATTTTTCATCCAAATATGCAAATCACATATATTTTTGAAATCAGGAAAAAAGGCTAAATCGACATGTCATAAATTATATAGGGTGTTCCGTTGAAAAAACCAAAGTTGATGTCCTTTCTGGAAAAACGAATGACCCTGTATATGAAACAACTTCACGAAATGAAAGTTTGGGTCGTTTGACACAGCTTTTTCATTCAACATTTCTTCATATCTCTGAAAACGAAAGAGTTAAGGGGGAATTAAATTTTAAGAGGCGCACCCTGTACACAGTACAGATTCTCCTGAAATTGAAACCGGAAATCGAATTGTGAAGTCAACCCATTTTTGTCACGCAATTTGATGAAGAATTCTTTCCATATACAGGGTGTCCAGAAATTATGCGCAAAAAATCAAGGGGTTGATTCTGCATGAGGAAATACGAAATTTATTTCATATATACGTGGGTCCGGAAATGCATTGTTTTCAAGATACAGGGTGTTGAACTTTTTTGAAAAAATCGGTTTTTTATGAATATCTCGAATATTCTTCCACCGATTCTCTTGAAAATTGGTAATGATATTTTGTGTCGTAGGGGGCACCTTGAATTGGAATTGTGAAATCCACAAATTTTTCCTAAAATCCATATCTTCATATCCTAATAAATAACTGAAAATACAAAATTTTGGTCTCCCGAATTGTTTTGCTATTGTGCTGCTCTTCCGTGGAAAGAAGTAAATACCAATTCATTGTATAAATTTGTGCAAAATATTGCTTCAAAAACATGGGTGAAATTAAATGTGTCCATTTCCATAGACGTAGAATAAGAAAAAAGATTTATTTTCGTCAAATATTTTATAATTCAGGTTTGACACACTTTGTATCATCGAAATTTACACGTTCCTGGACCGAAAATACATTGTTCTCAATATACAGAGTGAAGAGTGTGTCAAACATGTATTAACAGATATTTAAAGAAGATGAATCATCATACTCATTCTATGTCTATGGACATTGATCACTCATTCATTTTCACACCAGTGTTTGAAATTTATGCAATAAATTGTTTTTTTTTTTTTTTCATGGAAATGAAGCAAATTAACTGAACAATTCAGGAGACTTAAATGTTGTATCTCTAGTTGGTCAATAGGTTATGAAGATACGAATTTCAAGAAAATCAGTGGCGCACATTTTATTGAAAATAATATTCGGTAGGTTGCCAATCGGGACGCCACTGGATTTCATAATTCCAATTGAATCATGGATATATCAGCCACTCATGACAAAAAATTTCATTGCCAAATTTTGATGAAATCGGTGAAAGGAGATATTCATAAAAAACCGATCTTTTTTAAAACTTTCAACACACTGTTTGTTGAAAACTATGCATTTCCGGACCCACGTACATATGAACTGGATTTCTTATTTCATCATGTAGAATCACCCCCTTGATTTTTTGGGTATAATTTCTTGACACCCTGTATAACAATAATTCTTCAACTTTAACTTACATTTCCCGTGGCCGATGCTTCAGCTGGGAGATCATTTTGGGCACTAAAACGACTCAAAACATGGCTTGGAAGAAAGATAACTGACTTTGTTTTATACAAATTTTTAGGCTAGTAGGCTATCCTTATTTTATTAGGCTAATACTTTTTTGTTTCTACCATTCTGTTTCTCATCAATGAAATTTCGATTCAAACATGTTTTACCCCCCTCCCCTTGAGAAAAGTTGAATCCACCCTTGTTGCTGCCTACCTGGTTTTGTAAATTTTCTTCTGTCAAATTTGAGGAATACGCCCAGCTGGCAACAGCCACCTTATTGTCGTTTTCTTCAGTCTTCCTGTTTATGGCTAACAAGAAGTTGTATGCTGCCAATTCTTCTTCTTCGATATTTGGATCCTTTGATTCAGAAGAAGTCAGCAGCAGCAGGCTTATGAGCAAGCCTACCAACATCGTAACCCTATAATAATGATATTTTGAATTATTTGTTGTCATGAGATTGATGGAAATTTAAATGTCCTCATATGAGAAGTCACAGTAACTAAACAATTCAGCACTGAAACTAAGGCTTAGTAGAACTGTGCACTACTAGAGATACATCATGATGCAATCGTATCGTACTTTGATATCATCGATGAGTTTGATTTTTGAATAAATGACCATGTGGTGGTGTTTATAATGATTCCTGAAATGTCAGTGTCAGAATAGATTTGTGATGCAGTGACTGTGGTTATTTTGAGACCAAAATGATTAATCTAGGGATGGCTTTTGGTGGTTTTCCAAAGAATTAACCAAAACAACGTACTTGAAGAGCTATATTTTTCATCCAACCATTAATCAAAATGTCATGACAATAGATATGTTTTCATTTATACTGACCCTCGAATTATCCTGAAAGATTTTCTCAAATTTCACTGTTTCTTAACATTCGCAAATCATTTGACTTTTGAATTTCTCGATCAATTATTTCATCGCGCAAAGTCTTTGATAACATTAAATCACTATTTATTTTCTATATCCATGAACAGTATACATCAATTCTTATCATTACTATACGTCCTTGCTTCATATATAGAACATTGGCGTATCTATAGATGGGCTCCATCACAATTATGAACTATACAGGGGGACTCAGTGTTTCAAGGCCAAACTCGATGAAAATGTCAATGAACTTAATTTCCTAAAATGTCACAAGGAATCGCCTCTTGAATATTGTCGGTGTTATTTAGATACACCCTGTATATGCAAAAATTGACGGTTTTGATCAATAACAAGAAGAACAACTAACAGGAAGAAGGAGTTGAGGCAAAGTGGATGATATCATGGAGTGCTACTCGTTTCTTGAGAATGCTCTGGTTTTTAGTACATTCCAGATATTAGTTGGATATATTTGGGTTAAGATTGTCGATGAAGTCAATCAACGAGTGGTCATTCGAGAGATGATCACATATTGGTATTCTGAGACTATTATAAATCGGACAATCAACAGAAGATGCTGCAACGTTTCTGCAGAATCCATATTACAAATTAAACTTATCTCATTGGGATTTATTTTATATGAGTTTTCATTATCGGTAAAATTAATGAAATATATTAATTGCATATTCTCAACTGCGATTTTGTGCCAATGATCTGAACGGGCGAATGAAAATGTAGATAGTTAGCCTCAGCTTTTGTGATAGATGTTGTATAAAATAGCAGAAATTCGAATCTCTGCAGGAGAGCACGATTTTGTCCGTGGAGTTTACTATAATATTTATTGATGATGAATAAGTTTTATGGGTTTTCAAAGAGTAAGGGTTCATTTCAATCAGAAACGCTGAGGCCTCGATAAAATCAAAATGTTTCTTTACTTGGAGTGCCCAGTTGTAATTTAAGTTCATATTCGTTAGTGACAGTTGTCTCAGAAAACACAATTTCGGCAGGCGATGAATGTCCATTTCAAGAATTTTGATGATCTAAATTGATCTAATTCAGAGTGAATTCAAACGTATTATAAAAAACTCAACTTTTCCAGTTTCAAGTCTGACGATATAATCTGGTGTACCAAGAGGAAGTTGCAAGAGCCTCTTGAAGAAGTTTACTTGCACTTTTTCAAGGATGTCATGATATTTCAAACCCCAAACAGGAATACAAGTAGTCATCACACTCAAAACTGTTGCTCTTTTACTGTCTCACACCCTGTATAAGTATCTACGTGATTTGAACAAACATATGTCAATGTCAATTGTCATAGCGGTCAAAGCTTTCCGCTTTAGGAATAATAATGATTTTTTTTTCAGGTCATGAACTCACCTTGTTAAAACCGCAGTATCCAAGAACAAGAACACCACATGGAATCAGCAAGCAAATGGAAATATGAAGAGTAGATTTGATGTTGAGGAGGCGGTTCGGATAACCAGCTAGCGTGAAGACAACCAGAGACCGGTTCGTTGTTTTGCAATGGTACCGGTACTCGGCAGTGGCGTGTTATATATATGGTACTGCTGGTACCAGCGGTTGGTGGAAAAAAGCAGCAGCCGTTGAAGGGAAACCACATTGAACCCTGATGGTCGTTTTCAGCGAGAAAATGAGCGTTGGAGCGTGGTCAGTTATTCATCAGTTGGAAATTGTAAGCTGAATCACATTCATCATCAACTTTTGTTTTCTCTCTTGGAGCCCACGAAAGGGAATTCCTATATATTTTGTGCACCACACCATTATACATATACATATGTTGGGTAATTTTGGTGAAACTGGGTATGGGATTTCATAGGGATGATCGATGTCTACATGATGTAATATTCATCTAATTTGATGGTTGAAATGGATTTGTTTACTTTTGCGTGGATGCTTCTCATATGTATGTTTCTGCCATGAAAGAGTATTGCTGATTGATATACCGAGCATAGTGGTCTTGGTCTTGCCCTCACTTTTCTATAATATTTTGTCCCAATTCCAGTGATGAATTTCATTTAGGTTTAATGAAGGTATGCAAAAAAAGATTGTTGGCAATAAAGAAACAGAGTTAGATCACTCAATACCGCGACAACCTTATAAATCCCCATTTCATATGTTCCTATCTCAGAAATTGTTTTTTTCTCACTATCAAAAGTGATATGCTATGATTTCTGTAATTCAAATTTCATCATTCTTTTTCATCAACTCTGAAGAGCTGATTTCATTAACGCATCACACTTGGGGACTAGTGAGGATAATCACAGAGATACAGGGTATATTATTGTAAATCATCAGGATTTCTCAATTTCATCATTTTTTTGTGTCGAATCTATACATTATTAGTCTAAACGGCTTACATATTCTTGTCTTAACTTTTGATTTACTACTTATATAGCACTCGACGTTCTGGGGGACGTCCATTTTAGGTCCGATTAAGGTCTGAACGTCCGGGACCTTTTCAAAACGTCAAAAAAGTATAGAGTACCTGCCGGTAATCTAAGGTCCTGGCATCGATTCACAAATTTTTCATCCAAAATAAGAACTTTTAACTCTGTCTAGATCTCTTTTTCAAATTTCTGAGTAGAAAAAGGCGAATTCACGTTGATTCAGGTATTCATCATCCTGGATGGATGTACTGGGGATGTACAAATGCGCGGAATCTGGAGTACGTACCTAGTACGTCTACGGTCCTAATCTGGACGTCTCCGTTTACGTTTTGGGGAAGTACTGGTGCTATACAGGGTGAGTCATAACTATTGGGACGTAGGCTAAGGGAGGATTGTTTGGACCAAAATATGGCGATTGGACCAAACATGCCTTAATAAAATATTGCTGTGAAGAGAGATACAGGACGTTAAAGTTGATTTTTTTCGTTTTTTGTCGGTTTTTTGCTAATAATTTCACTGTATATGAAATATATTTGAAAAAGTTTTGTGATTTGGTTGCTTCCTGCCTAGATATTAGAGATATTACAATTCATACCTTCTGGCTGCATCCCGCATAAATTCATTTCAATCGAAAAAATTTTGACTATAAACTCGCACCAAAATTCATTCTCTGACGAGAAATGCCATTACCAGCAACATTATCTGACAGTTCAAAGCACGCTCTTCATGAATGAAATAATATTTGTAATTAACTTCTGAGACTCTGAACTGTTCAATAGCGTTTTTCTCGAGAACGGATGAAGATATCGTGTTCAACAAAAGTACCAATATTACGTAGAAATGATGTTTAGGTCATATTTTTTAATCAAAATCACTCAAATGGTTCGTTAAAAAAAGTAACCAGGCGATTTCATAATCAGGAATCATCCACATGGCGCCCCCTGTATCAAAATGTAGAATAGTACATAAAATAATATTCCCTGTATGGAATTATGCCTTTGTGCCAATTTTGATAACAATTGATGAATATACAGTGAAATTATTGGCAAAAAACTAAAATAAAAAGTCAACTTCAACGCCCTGTATCTTTTTCCACAGCAATATTCTATGAAGGCATATTCAGTCCAATCGCCATATTTTGGTTCAAACAATCCGCCCTTAGCCTATGTCCCAATAGCTATGACTCACCCTGTATATGGGAATCTACTGACATTTCATTAAAACGAATACGGAGGGTGGTTCATAATTCTGAATTGTGAACCACCCTTCAATCAAATTAAATGTCAGTGGATAGTAAATCATGAGAGAAAAAGTATAATTTTTATATACGCTACGCATTTTGAGTAACCCCTGTATAACGCAAAATAGTGTAGAACTGTGCTGCTCATAAGTGACCATCTCGAAAATGTTTGTTTATTCATCTCAAACAGCGAAGCCCTTATCTCACATTGAGGGTTATATCACACAAAATCTATTTACCAATTATTCGGCAATAATGAATGCAGAATTCCAAAAAAAAACACTTCCTTCCAGTCCTCCCAATATCCCATTTCCGGATGGATCACCCTGTATATTACATGTAATATCAATAACAATAATAATAATAGGATAAAGGATAAATCCAAGGATATTCATTAAATTGTGCGTTTGAAAATGTAGAATTGATATTTTTGATAATCATCAATTGAAACCTCGAAAAATTTGACACACTACCGCCATCTATTTGACAGTGTTCAAACTATCAACGCCGAGCCTATTGTGAATATTTCGTTACTAATCCATTACAGGGTTCTGTAATCACTCGTGGTTCATTCATTCAATAACGTTCTGCTTCGCATTTTTGCCGTGCGATTTTCGCTTGTCGCTGTCGTAGAAATAATAATAATAATACAAAAATGGTGCAAAAGTGGTGGGAGTGTACGGAAGTGTCTACACACCTAACCTATTAATTTATACAAGTTTTTGTTATTGAATACGAACAACAAATTATCTACAAAATAATCCACCCGTGTCGATACAGTGATGTGTAACCAGAGGCTCAACAGAAATAAACCACCGAATTTTATGTTTACAAACAAAACTCTTTCGATATTTTTGTGATGTTTACCTGGGCCCAGTGAAGTCTCCAAGAAACTGTGAAAGATGAACTCTCGTGCTCATCTGCAAGGGATAGTGAATAATTCGGTAGCAATAAGACAGGAAATTCAGAGATTCGAGAGTGTCCATCCTTCTATTTACGCGATATACGATCTCATAGACCTTATTCCAGATGGAATCATCGCTCAACAGATACGCGATCATGTAGTTTGCATAGAAGGTGAGTTTCCTGAAAGTTTATCAAATTTCTGAATAGCGCAGAGAAGATATCCCAACCCAGGAATTCGACTCTTTACAATTACAGTCATAGAGTCGAGTTTACTCTTGACACCCCTGTGATCTGACAACCACCCCAATTCTACCTGCGTGTAGGTATAGGTATTGTACCTACCTCGATTTCGATTGTATGTATTTTATGATAAAGGAACAGGTAGGTATCGGGTTTCGATATCAACTGTGACTGTGATTGACACCCATAAATATTTATTTCATTGAATGTTGAAGCTAGATACAGTCTGATTTCGATTCACTATATTTATATTCAGGCTGTAAATTCTGAAATTAAGTACATACATATTACCTAATATAAACATAGAGAATGTATCACTTTCAGTGCCTCCCCCTCTTCATTTCAGTTCATATAGCAGTGGCGTAGTCAGATTTCAGAATAAACTTCTGGGAGTACCTAGTACTGGGTTAAAAATTCTACCCCCTCTCCTCACGCACATCGGAATCGTTCGAAATTTCAAGGTCAAACGGTTTGAATTCACCATATTCCTCGCCATATTCCATTTGGAAAGGAGCAGACAATTCGTGGTATTTGTTGGCAGTATATTTACTGTCGAAATGAGTGTCATATGTCTAACGAATGTCATTCTTTTTTTCTCAATGTCAGTTATAATAAGTTTGAAAACCAAGTAGTCAACATTCGATCCTTATTTATTGTCCAATGTCCACCGAGTTTCCACCAGATCGCGCTAATGAAATGTCAGGTTAGAGTTGGTAGAACTGATAAATATAACATAAATATACTTTTGTTTGTGTCATCTGGCCCTTCCATAACGATATCTTCTTATTCTCCGTCAATGTGAGAATTGGTCGTCAAGTTCCACATTGAGAGTAAATACTGCTAGAGTCTTTCCATAACTTGTGGTTTTCTCTCGGGTTTTTTATCATGTATTCAGATATTCTACATAATTTTTTCCGAGATTTTTTCCGAATATATTTTCCGAGATATTTTCGATAAAAAGGCCACAGCCATCCGGGAAAAATTTGGGATTTTTGACTTTTGACCTCACGTTTTAATAACGCCATCTGGTGAGACTGAAAATGTAGGTCCCGTTGCCCCCATATACGTATTAATAAACAATACGGATCATAACGGGTGCCAGGATGAAGCCAAAAATATGAAACAAATGAATATCCATAAGGATTTGGTGACATGATACGCGATACGCATGCGCCATGCGCTATTATAATAGTCATCAAAGACATGCGTTTCGGTGGACAATGACGTTTACTAGCCTTTCAATCAAAGCAGTATGTGTCTGATCGTTTCAGAACTTTTCCTTATATGGATGGTCATTTGTCTTCAAAAATCGGCTTCATGTTTCGCTATGGAAACAGATAGAGATTATCCGTATTGATTATTAATATATTAATACGTATATGGTTGCCCCTCGTTATAATAATAGATTAATTTTGACATTGGCGCCGATTTCATTTGCATTTGACAATAATTGACATCTTGGTGTCAACCGGATAGCCAACTCCTACATCACAATAAGAAATGTATAAAGAAACAACCCTTGAAAATATGGTAAATTGTAAGTAATCGAAACCGATAAATATAAACTATCTACTTGGGAGTAAGTTCCGAGAGTAATTCCCGAGGTAATTCCATAATATTTTAAAGGCATCAACGAGGGCATCAACGGATGAGGGATTCATGTCCGAATCATATTCATGATTTGATATTTTCAAATCGAAAAGTCAT